GTCTTTCACATATAAATATTGTTTCTGTTGAACACCCATGTTTTGAACACAAACATGAATCATATGTCGACATCTTGTCATATTTATCAAGAATTGTTCAAAATTGCAATAAAAGTAGAAAATTAATAAAGGAAAACTCAATGTAATGGAATTTTGTACATTTTTTCATAAAAAAATCCATGATGATAAGTAAAATGTTGTAAAAGCTGAAAAATGTACATTTTAATAAAGAATATTGATCCTGAAGTTAAGGTACATTCTGTTTTGTTCATTTAACCATATACATGATCATGTTTCTTATAAATTTGTTCAAATCATGTGTATGTTTAGGCTAGTCCAAAAATCCAAATTTAAATTTAGGGTTGTTTGGCCGTGTTGTATCCGATATACAAACTTGAGGCATAGCCGACACAAATACTGTAGATTACTTATCAAACGTCTAGGTTAGTTCCTTTGTGTTTTGCTAAAATTTTCAAGATAAAAGTGAATCTGGCCAAGAAAATCTATCTTAAAGTTTATGCAAATGAACAGGATTCTGTATCTGATTTACAAAACTCTTCACAGTCGTGATTTCTGTTGTGTTTTCCTCATGAATTATTAATGAGTTTAATAAGGTATGTTACAGCACATCGTGTTGTAAGCATTGATCAACTTATAATATTTAAAAACAATTTTATACAAATCTTTTTAGAACATCTGTATTAATAGGAAATATTATGTYATAAAAAGATTTGTATAAAATTGTTTTTGAATATTTTGATTGATAACCCTATAATCGAACAGAAAGTTGTGATCAAGGCTGCGAATAATCTTTTTAGTAAGCAGGTCATTTGTCATATATTTTACCAGTTGCCATGACTACACAAACATCCCTGTGTTTGTTCAGCACCATGTCGATGATCTTCCACTGCATCCTGCCATAAAATATAAATTGTCACTTAGAAATATGACGTCCATTTAGGTCATAAAATTCAAGTTACAGAGCAAAACTCACGGTCTAAATTTTGAATGTCCAAAATAACGCTTCAAAACCTTTATGTACTTTAGATCAGGCTGAATCGCTTGACAATCTAGAAGGAGTTAAAAACTTTTTATTCTTCCCACTTTTGACACCTTTTCAAACTAATACATTCTCTTTAGTGTCATTTTTTTCTCTGTTGATAAAAAAGTATAAACATCCAAAGCATTCTAAAAAAGTATCTATTGGCTTTTCATCATTATCATTGCTCTTGATGCCACTTCATTTGTCCCACCCCCTAAGTGGACCCACCGATACTTTGCATTTCATCATATCATTGAATGGAATTTGCAATAATATAAGTAATAAACATTGTTAACATTATTTTACCGCTTTCTGATGAGTCTCTTCCATTACTTTTTGTTTCTTCATATTCATTGATACTCTTGTTGCATAGCTCATCAAAGTCCACCTATGATTGAACAAGAAAAAAAATTTATGAAATACCATATGTACCTTGATTACTGCCTCATTTATTCAGGTTGACAATTTTTTTTGGTAGTGTACCTGGGATATAGCTTGATCAAACAGGTCATCATCCATTGGATCTAGCATATCATTATTATATGCATCATCAGTATTATCATCCTTTTCCAAAGGGGCATCTAATGAAACACTTTCCTGTTAAATTATGAAATTTGTACATGATAAATGAAGGGTCATAGTAGGACCTGATTTAGAGGGGAGGGGTGGGGTGGGTTGGGGATATGGTGCAGTTATAAAAATTGCCTGGTCAAGAAGCATCTCATTCTTCACAGGGGGAGGGACAAGGCCACCCTGTTATTGGGTTAAATGGTTAGACCTTCATGTGGCTCGGATGATCATGTTAAGGGCCTTCCCGTCCCTAATTAACTAGAGACGTTAACAGAGGACCACAAGTTTATCAGTTGAATTACTGTCAAGTGTGATCCTCCATAAACAAAGTTAATTATTTATTAATTATTAATTAAAGTGTTAACCTGATATATTGCCTGGTCAAGAATGTCATCATCCCTTGGGTCCAGTGTATCAGCATCACTATCAGACTCCTCTTTTACTACACCTGGTGATGATTCTGGAGGATTTTCCTGCCGAGAAGAACATGGATTGAAAGATGTCAATGTCCCCAGGTGACCACTGTACACAAAGAACAACAATAAAGAACGCGTCCAGGCTAAAGAGCGAACTGCACATATAAGTTACATGTAAGCTATGGCAAAGATTATATCATATCCAAGAGAACAGTATACACTAGTATTACAGTCAAGCCATTGCTATCAAAATAATACTCTTTTGTCACAATGACGTTGATGACAATATTGACAATGATGATGGTGACCATGAAGTTGGACAAAATGATGGTGATGACTGTGATGATGATAATGACAACAAAAGCTGCAATGAAAATGGTGGTTATTAAAATTATCTTTTTTTTTACTGTAACTAGCATGAATTGATATCTGTAATCAAATCCTAATACAATGCCATAAACCATAATAAAACTAGACCTTTTTTTCAATTTCAGTGACAAGATCGTCATCATCAGGATCTTCTGTATCAGCATCACTATCATCAATAGTCTGTCCTCCCAAACATGATGGCGAGTCTATGGGAGTCTCTTCCTGTTACAACAAACAAAACCTTGAAATAAGCCTTTTCATAGTTTAAGAATCAATTCCACTGTGCATGCGATTTTATCCCAAATTTCTCACCTTCTTTTGTTTAATTAAGAACAAAAGAAGGTTTAGACAAAAGAAGGTGAGAAATTCGGGATAAAATCACATGCGCAGTGGAATCGATTCTTAAACTATGAAAAGGCTTATTCCACTGACCTTAATACTGTGATGCATGAATATTCACAATGATTTATAATTATAAATACAATAGCACTTTAACCTAATGTTAGGTCAAATAAATGGATACAATCAATTTTAGGCTGAAATAATTAATTTATTGCATTGCATCGTTTTTAAAACCGGTACTTTTCGCTACTGCTGGTCTATACTAATACCGCACAAGTAGCTCAGCCAATCAGAGTGCAGGATTTGTGATAGACGGCATGGTAGGACTTTTGCTAAACCAACGTACCTCAGCACAATCATCTACACATGGCCGCGCAGAATCTACAGAAATATCGTCTTCAGCCTTCACAATTTGCTGATAGAGCTCAGCAACACTAGAATCAATCGCATTTACGAGAGATTCGCATTTGTTTTGGTCAAAGTTGAACTTGTCTTGATTGTGGAGAAATTCCAGCACTTCGTTCAATCTACTTGAAGCCAGTGAAAGTACACGTATTTGGCAGGAGTTAGACATCCCTTTAGGCCCTTTTTTGTGCTTTCTACAGGATAACGATACCAGAAATGTCCATTGTGAAAACACTTTTTGGAGATTTTTTTCTCCTCTTTTGGTGGCTCCTCGCTTCTTTTACAAATGGCGCGAACACAGACTACTACTTCATGTAGTATTACTTTTAATGAAACCACTGATACTAACTATGAAAAATCGTTATCAATACAACTACATGAAGGACTGTGCTAAAGCTTTATCCCAGACTCCTTTGCTTTCACGGACAAAATTTGTGCTCCAAAAAACATCGAACATTTTCAGTCATCGAGGTCAGATATGTGAAGCGGATTTTTTCACAATATTTTCAATGCAAAACGAGAACTAGGAATTTATATATGTAATTTTTATCCTGCTGATCCCGATAATGAGGTTGATCTCCACACACACGCGTCTTTTTCTCTACACGTGAGTTTACTTCGTTACGTAACTAAACAGGAGAACACCTCAAACACTTCACGAGCAGTTTACCGACAGCTTAAATTTATTTATATCCACGTCCACCGGTGAGTGGAAAGATCAGAGCAGGCGATATGGAAGAAAATGATTCTTCCCAACGAAGGTTTCAAAAAACTAACTCCCTTTACTGGGCGAGAAAAGATCTTCGCCTTCATGACAATCCTGCTCTTCGAGAGGCTTTACTCTGTTGTGACACCTTTCGTGTTGTTTATATATTGGACACGAAAAGCGTAGAAGGTTCCCGTATAGGCCTTAATCTTTGGCGATTTCTGCTTCAATCGCTGGAAGAGCTTGATAACAGTCTAAGAAAGTTAAAATCAAGGCTGTTTGTAGTGAGAGGGCAGCCTGCGGATGTTCTTCCTAAGCTCTTTCTAGAATGGAACATCACAAAGCTAACGTTCGGGGAAGATACAGATCCATTTGGGAAAGAAAGAGACTCAGCTATTCAAATGCTGGCCAGAGAAGCTGGTATTGATGTTATTGTTCGGCAGTCGAACACACTGTACGACTGGCCAGAGTAAGTATAAGGATCGTAGCATTATTTCAAATTTGTCCGAAATACGGAGTGGCTATTCGTACGTCACCCGTACGGCAACTTGTACATGTATTTACTATTCGTACGGGAGTCAAAAATTTCGTCGATTTTCTCGGGAACTCTGTATAATTCTTTTCCAACGTAATAACGATATTTTTGTTTAGACCAGTTAGGCGATTCATGTCAGTAATATTATTTTGATTCAAACTTATTTGACGAGTCTGTACCCAGTAGCGAGCAACTCACTTTCGCGACACTTTTCGTGTAGATAGTCTGAGGTCAGTGTCACTGCGGGAAATGTCACGCAATAGAATTTCTGACGACTCCCGTACGAATAACATTCGCGAATAATTCCCGGGGGTACTCTTGCCCGTTTAGGGTAGGGGTGTGCCGCTGAGCCCACTAAACCCTCACCCTGTTCCAGAGCAAGATCGCTGAAAATCAAACCCTGTTCCGGTATTGCGAAAATGGATATCCTGTTCCAGAGAGGAGAGAGCGTGATTTAATATACCCTGTCCCAGAGTGAGCGTGTTTTATATACCCTGTTCCAGAGTAGAATCGCTGAAAACCATACCCTTATACCTGCACAAATTTTTCACATGCACAGAGCTTAGCTCTTAACTCCTTTATGATCCATTTTAAAGAAAGAATTAATCCACTTGTGCATATTTTTTCCATTTTTAATTTGCGTCCACAATCTTGTTTTCAATGCAATAACACCAAAATATATTTTTTTCAGAAATGGACAGGTTAAAATCCTCCCATTAATATCAGTGGATTTTTTCATTTCTAGATTAATATACCAAAATGGAGGAAAACTTACCTGCTCATACAAGAGTTTCCTCAATGTAATTCAAACCATGGCCCCCCCTGATCTACCAGAGGAGACAATAACATGTAACTCACCAGGACTTGGTTACACACCCCTTGATGAGGACTGTTTTGATAAATATGAAGTGCCGTCATTTGAAGAACTTGGCCTTGATTCTAGTAAATTGTGCACTGAAGCATGGCATGGAGGAGAAATTGAAGCACTTAACAGGCTTAATCGACATTTAGAACGAAAGGTACATATCTATGAAATAAAACAATTTAATAAATTAATATCTCCTGGGATATGAGGGACTGTTTGTTTTTATCAGAGTTTGAGAGGTATGCATGTGTGTATGTGGGGGGAGGGGGGGATGGAGTATTGGTGAGAAAATAGAAATAAAAGCTTCACCAATCCCCTATTAGTATTTATATATGCCTTTGGGGGGGTGGGGGTAGGGGGTATTATTTGAAGACCCCACTTTTCGATTACTAACTGTAACGCCTACCCCCCTTTCAATAAATAATTGAACAGTCTTCAAACTAGTGAGACCAAAAATATCAGACATGACTGGTGTGGGAGGAGTGCTGCATAATTCAAAATCAAATAAACTCTTTTTTTAAAATTTTGAAAATTTCTTAATCTTGAATTTGAAGGCATGGATAGCAAGCTTCGAGCATCCTAAGATCACCCCAAATAGTCTTCATGCAATGGCTCATAGTGTAAGCCCCTACCTAAGATTTGGGTGTTTGTCTCCAAGGCTGTTCTATTCTCGCCTGACAGACCTTTACGAAAAGGTATGAATTTGCATATTTTATAGAGTTTCGTGTGTGACTGTTTCTTTTATGTGTAGAGGTGATCAATGTGCCATTTTAATTAATTCCTTTTTGTATTCTCTTGTGAAGAGCTTTTAATATCAATGGAGGCCAAAATGGCACATGGGAAATGACATAATTATATTATAATTTATTCATTTGTGCCATCCATGCAGTCGCCAAACACGTATTAAAAACAGTGGATGATGCCGGGGGTCGCCAGTCACAGCATGCATCTAATTAACGTACTTCCCATGTGCCATTTCAGTCTCAGCTTCTATGTTCTATGTTTCTGAACCCGACAATGATTTTTCAATTGAGAGTATATGTTTTAATGAGTGTTTTTTAAGGTAAAAAGGAGAAAGCCATCAATTTCCTTATATGGTCAATTGCTGTGGAGAGAATTTCTTTATATGGTATCAACAAATAATCCAAACTTTGACAAGATGCATGACAATCCTTACTGCTTGCAAATACAGTGGAGAGATGATAATTGTGTTGAGGAAGATTTACAGAAATGGAAACTGGTAGCTATCCATTCATTATGTTTATCCATTCACTGAATCAAAACATGGTGACCAATAATTTGAATAACCCTTGAATCTTTGAAAAATCTGATTTTGTAGATTCTATTTCGCATTCCCAGTGACCTAAATTCTGGTCCCAGTGATGAACCTTGAGGAAATCCAATGATGATGATCATATTTCCCATTCCCAGTGACCTAAATCCTGGTCCCAGTGATGAACCTTGGAGTAATCCAATGTTAGTGATTGAAATCCTATTATGTGTATTTAATTGTTGATTTTAGGGCCAAACAGGATTTCCATGGATTGATGCAATCATGGCACAGCTCCGACAAGAAGGTTGGGTTCATCCTATGGCTTGTTACGCGACAGCTTGTTTCTTGACAAGAGGAGCGCTCTGGATAAGCTGGGAAGAAGGCATGAAAGTTAGTAAATACTACATATTATTCTGTATAGATGGCTTGACAGGGAAGCACTGTAGAACATACTGCCTTGACTTTACACAGTGGCAAATCCAAAAAAATTCAATGAGGTGGCTGTTGCCTAGTATATAATTATCAAGTTTTCTTTTTAGATTTGGCCAACCTTATTCTTTATTCTATTATTTTCAAACTCCAAAGGGGGTGGCTAGGCCAATTAATCCACCCCTCAAAGATTTGCCAAGTCAATGGCAGTTCAAACCTCCCATATCTGGAACTCTTTTGATGTCATATGCTGTATCAACTCAATAATTTCTATGCTTTTAATCAGTCAGTGGTTTACAAGTATATTTATTCATGGATGGCAGATTTGGATTGAAAAGCTTAATATTGAATTACAGTGTTAAATATACTTTTCAATCTGGTGACTGCTGAAGCAATTTCATTTGTCCGCCTCCCCCCTCCTCCAACGAGTCCTCTTCAATGCCCCTCCCACCTCTAAACTAGTAACCATGTTGATGTTAGCTTGTTTATTTTTATTAGGTATTTGAAGAGTATCTTCTTGATGCTGACTGGAGCGTCAATGCTGGAAACTGGATGTGGTATTCTTGTAGCGCTTTTTCTCAGCATTTCTATCTTCCTCAGTGTCCAGTAGAATTTGGTAAAAAGCTTGATGAAAATGGGGACTACATTAGGTAAGACTTTGAGGACTTCGCTACTCGTGATTGCTTGAGAGGCAGGGCAAACCATCAATCCATCGGTTTGCAGTTATGAGATTTGTCTTTGAGATGATGTCAAAAGTGAATTTAATGTTGTATGGATGGAATTACATAAAGTACTGACTTACAGCATGTACACGGTTAGTCTTTTACAACATGCCATGAATTGAAATGGCTTCCCATAAGAATGGTTATTGTATATGGGAAACATATACCTGAGCACAACATGAAAATAAAAATGGTTATAGTATGAGTGTAGAACATGTGGTACAATTACTTCATGCCATACACTGTAACATTGAAATGGCTTCCCATATGAATGCTTATCGTATGAGTGTGAAACATATGTTATGGTAACATCCAAATGGCTTTCCATAAACTGACTGGGAAACTGAATATTACAGTTATAAATATTATGGCATGCTGCAATATTGAAATGGCTTCCCATTATAATGGTTACTGTATACTAGAGCTCTTTCTCTTATTAGTACTAGTGTTGTATGTTGTTAATATTGAACGAGCCCCTGAAAAAAATAAACTATAATAGTGTCTTCTTTTTTAAATGCAGGAAATACCTACCAATTCTGAAGGGTTTCTCGAATGAATACATTCATGAGCCATGGAAAGCACCATGTCGTGTGCAAAAGATTGCACGCTGCATGATTGGAAAAGACTATCCTTCACCCATGTTTGACCAGGAAGAAAAGAGAAAACAAAATATGGAAAGAATTCAAAAAATCATTGACTCACAACAGCCAAGTATAGAGATTCAGGTAACATAAGTTGCCCTTCAGTTAGTCCACATGAAAGCTCGGCTCCAGCATGCAATTCACATGCTTAATGGTGGTGAAGTGGTAGTGTATGCCACAAAGGGACACATTGGCAGCTCACACCACCCGTGCTTCCCAAAACCCACTACATGAACACTTATGTCCCAATTTTTTCTCTTTTTTAGCAGTGTTAGCTTAAGATAATGAAGAATTCAAGATAATGGCAAGATCTTCAAGCATTTGAAAGTAGTATATAATTCACAAAATAAATAATAATTGCGGTTGTATATAGCTTTTGTAAAATTATGCAAGCAGCAAGATTATTCTCATCTACCCTCCAACGCAATGCATTGTGGCATTGGTTTCTCAACTTTGTTGCAGTGTGACATGTTTGTATGTCATTCTTGCTAATACACAGAATCAAAAAATATGTTGACTAATTTGTGTAAATAACTATTTTTCTGGACTGACTAGCCACATGTTCACTTGGAAACATAAAAGAGTTGTTTCAGAAGTATGAGACGCCCAGGTCAGTCCAGAACAATAGTTTTACAAATTGATAACCCATATTTTATTCAGTGTATATGCAGTCTTTTGATTCCCGAAAAGAAAAAAATTAAAATGCCTCAAAAGTCCCAACCTGTGATCATTGCCACATGATCATTTGAGAGAAGCTGAATATTTTGCCATAAGTTTAGATTCCAATTAATACTGGCTAATCTTATTTCTAAATATACAAACTAATATAAGATCTTATTTTCCAAAATTCAGCATACCAAAAGGTAACTAATATATGAATACAATCATATTATTAATAGTGTAATTGCTAATGTACATAAATGTTATTTATATTTATTTAATATTGATTGACCAAATTGTAATTTCTATGATTTATTATTTATGGTTAATTGATATAAACAGTTTTAGAGAAATATCACACATTTCAACATGCATGTGTATGTGTGATGCATTGTGTGTTATGATGCATTGTAATAAAGATAGAGATCGGAATATGGGATATTTGCATTATGGCTTCACTGACTACAACTACCATAATCCCTTGCACACTTTTTTTTGATCAGTTAATTTGCACTGATTGCCCATTTGTTACAGTTCTCATAAGGAAATAAGAATTTAATGAAAAAGAAAATTTGCAAAGCATTTTGGTCTAGTGATAGTCAAATGCTGCCATCATGCAAGTTTTGGACAGGACCCAAAACGTTTTGGCCAAACTGTTATAGTATGCCTTATTTGGATTTTCTCAAATTTGTTTGTACACCCAAAATAATGATTACCTTGTCCACCCAAACCATCCATACTTGCTTTGCAATTGCATTTTAGGGACTTGGTATCTACTTTGTTTATTTACTAGCAACATAAAGCTGTCATCTAGCATGTTATAAACCTTGTTTAGTGTAAATTGATCTATAATTGATGCCTAAATATATGTCTCTTTAGTAGTCATAGAAAATAAAATATAAAACATTTTCATTGCTAATTCAAGTATTTAGCAAAGAAAAGAAAAGGAATCATCCTATTTGATGGTTCAATCTCTACATTAATTTATATTGTGAATGCTCTTTTAAATGTTAGCTGTAAAGAATGAAAAATATTCTTCAAATTTTATTGATACCCTGTAACCTCTGCATAGGGTGATGGAATTAAGTCAGGGTATAGCTAGTTCACAGATCAAATTCAAATTTAGGGAGGTAAACTAGAGAACCTGGAAAAAAAACTCAATTGAAGGGAGAGACCTAACAAACTCTACTTATTGATCATCCTCCAAGTCACTGAGTCAAACCTGAGACTCGGCGATGAGAAGCAAGTGCTATGCAGCCTTTGATTTCCATCCTCAACCGATATATGTGTTTCATTTTTTCTACCCCTCCCCCCCCCCCCCCCCCCCCCAAACTCTAATCCTGAGATTTCCAGCTGTTGACATTGATGTGCACCAGCTGATATCTCCCCCATATCCCAAAATAAACAAGATACACTCGCTAAATCAAATAAATGTCTTTTAATGTCTAACCAAACATTCTCTATTGAGAACAATATATTTAACTACATCTGTATCCAGAGAAATATTATTATGCAATAGTCAAACATTAAGAAATAGTAACATATAGCCCATCCTTAGGATGAAGATAACAAAATAGTTTGTACTTATTCTCTTGGAGAATGAAGATGTGATGAAGATAAAGATCTCAAAAGCATGCCATACAGAGATATAAAAGATTTTCTCCCTTTAACGGCTTTTTCTTTATATTCACATAATATATTTTTTTACAATATCTATAAAGAGTTTAAAGTGTCTGAAATCATCAAAATTGATTCTTTGACAAGATATCTCTAATGTATTTTTGAATTTCTTGCTCCAAAACGTGGATGATTCTTTATTTGAAGCCTGAAAACAGAAAGAAAGACAATTAATGTCAAACAATAGAATCTTATAAATAAAACATCTGGAACAGGCATTGTACTATGTGCTTTTACTATGTGCTTTTACTATTTGCATATCATTAAGGTTTTTCTTTCAAAGCCACAAAAACTGTTAAGCAAATCTTCAACTTCAAAACACAAAAAATATAAAAAACTACCAAGGAACTACTAACATAAGTTAAAATGAGATATCTGTACAAAAAGGTGAGATCAATTTTAATTTTAGTCGCGTGTTGAAAGGGCAGATAAGAGTCTTATAAACGAGTTCAAACATGTTCCTCGTAACAGCTGGAGTCCAATGGTCCTTCTTTACAAAAAAGAGGAAAGAAAATCTGCCAGAACAAAAACTGTCCTTCAAAGATAATCCTTATTTAGTCATTTGGTTGACAGAAGTAGTTGGATAAATAAAACTAGAAGTCGTTCTTATCTTCGAAAAATTGCGAATTTTTTTTTCATTGTCGTCGAGCTTTTTCTCGGCGTCCTAGATTTTTCAACAAAATTAAACGCTTTTGGCGTTAGGTTTGTAAAATTTGTCTTTAGGAGTAGTCAATCATGATTAATATAAAAATCCCTTTGCTAAGCAAAAACACGCAATGTCAACACGAAAGCAAAAATGTCTTTTTACGCTAACTGACACTTACCATTCATGAATTTTGTTTCAATTTAAAAACTTGTCCAAACGCATTTGTCCGGCTTGTTTGACGGAAGATCGCGTTTGTCTTCGAAAAGATGGCGTATCTTTATCGATTTTTGAGCATAATTTCGGCTTCTTCTGCTTCAGAAATCCTAAARAGAACAATTCGAAACATACATAAATTTATTATATTATGTATGAATGAACAAACATAGYCACACTGACAATCAAATGCCGAGAAAAATATTTTCACAGCTTAAAATGAAAGAATAGCTGTTCCTGCCATARTATTTTGAAAAATTTTAAAGAATTTTGACCCGATTTGTGGCAAACGAGCGATCAAGTTTTCGTGCAACTTGAAACCTCAGGGGATTGATCTATAGTAATGCGTCCAAAATCACTACGCTAGAATAAACATAACTTTACTACGACATAACACGATACTACACAACACCATAAGAAAGATCTTTTAAACAGCTAAATAATACTAATATTTGTACCTGTAATTTTGTTAATCGGGACTCTTTTTCGTGGATTCTGCTCTGTTATTTTGCTGGTTTGAGTTGTGGAATTTTCACACGTTATACTCGTAGTAGTAGTAGTAGTAGCTGAAGAATTCAATTCTACGTCGGCACTTTTCGTACAACTAGAGTCTCTTAATGTAGAAATCCTTGAATTTAAAGTAATGCTTGACGAAGGAATGTCATTTTGAACATCATTTGAAGGTGTTTTATGCCATAGATATCTTCCTTTTAACGGTGTTCCCTTCTCAAAATCGAAGTTCCATCGTCGAATCCCATCTTCCACCATAGTTTTCATTTCTCGTTGTAGATGCGCGCGTGTTTCTGAGTGATCAACCGGTCCAAATAAGCATCTTCGAACACCTAAACTTGGGGAAACATCCGTAGGATCTTTCTGAGTTACGATCGAACGCCATTGGACTTCTGTAAGAGCCATAGTTTTAAGAAATCTCTGTAGTACCTTACCCTTCTCTGATCGAAAGATTATAAGTCTTATGCGTACAAGCACGACTTTATATATTAACTTTACAAGATTACAGTCATGCGATTGGCTGATACGGAGTCGTCATGGCAATATCAGAATTACACGTCGTTTTGGCGCGAGATTGCTCGAACGCGTTTATTCAGGTATTATTCATTGCAGTTCATTATCAAATCACATGGGGAGAGTGATTAAGAAATTAGGAAAGCCCCACAGTTTACATTAGAGTTTTCGTAAACGCTCTTTATATGCTCTATTTTTTTTAAAAGAGTTAATTTTTTTTGGATGAAAAACACCTGTTATCGACCTGAAACCGAAATTTACCACATTGATATTGACACGTGTGTATTTACATATCAATGATATCCAGTAAACCAAGTTTGTTAAAGCCCTTTTTTAATAACAATAAACTCGATAAATCCCCTTTAAATCACCTCTGATATTAATAACTACAATCTTTAAAGACAAATAACTAGAACTCTATGAACTTAACTTGAAAATGAAGAAGAAGAAATCTTGAGGCAGGCTGTGTACTCGCTTTTTTTCTGACACACATCTTGAATCAGTTCTTTAAAGCATTATTCAGTGTGTCAACAAAAGCACGCTCGCACGTGGCCTCCGTTTGCAAACCATGGGTTTTAAATTAGAGGGTTGATCAGCTGTTCAAGACGTCTTTGTCCTTCATCCGTTGAAATAGCATTTTAAGCGTGTCTCATTGAAAATGATTCAATGCTTTTTTCAAACGTTGTTAACTAGCACGATTTACTCAAAGAATATCAACAATACAAYCAGGAGACAATGAGAATTTCAAGCTCAAACTCAAGCGCCGCAGTTCGGGACATGAAAATACCGCGCGAAAACTAAATTTGAATGTCAGCAATCGTGTATTTGTTTTTGTAAATCATAGGATTAGCAACAAAACTAGATGCGATTTAACATGCAAATAAAGCCATGAGTAAATGAACAAACATCTYTATTTATTTGTATTTCGGATGTATTCCTTAGTATATTAGTGTTGGAGATTAAAAGCCTTTGTAAGCGCACATAGTCCAAAGTTCAGTCCTAAATATATCATGTATGTATGTGTGTGTATGCTTGTCTTAAAGTACTGTAAACAAGAGTCAATATAGTGAGTCTTCCTATCTGATTTAGTTGTAAACAAGGAAGGTTTAGATATAGCTTCAACAGGCGAGCAGTGTAACCCATTTACTATGTGTCACTTCATTTCCATTTTTCTTCAAAAGGAATCATTTTACTACTACAAGTACATGTAGTTGCTTGTGGTACATGCCTTTTTCCTTTGGCTTTATCAGAACTATTATATTGACTTGCACGATTGTTTTGGCTTTGAATAAAGCAACAGACCATGCTAGTAATACGTACAATTGACGATCTTTCAGACTTATCGCATCAATGAAAAATAAGAAGATCTTCAAGTAAACTTCCAGTAAATTTTCCTTCGTAGTTTAACTGAGACTTTTTGTTACGTTTTGGGGAAATTGGGCATTGAAAAAGACATGTGCTTCGAATGAAATTATTTTCAACTTTGTTGAACCTTTGAAATATGATTTTGYATACTGAAAATTTCCGGCATACTGAGATATTGGTTTCGGAGTTATGGAARTGTGCCCCGTTTTATAAAATAAGCCGCACTGCATGGCAGCCCTAACAAAGCTTCCACTAGAACAATTAACCGTTTCTATCTACCAAAAAACAACTGTTTACTCTAACCTCGTGGCCAGGACGAATCGTATTTTTGTTTTAAGGGGAAAAATGAACTCGATACAACACAATGCAAGGCAGGGATTTGAAATACAAGGTGGGATTTGAAATACATCGTTGGTAATATTTTTCACCGGTAATTCAGTGTTAAACATTTCTTTTCGTTGAACCTAGTCGTCGATGTGGTTATGCTCCGCCTTCTTTCGTCTTTGGTCCAGGGTGTGCTTAACTTTATTTGCCTATTGTTTCATATTATTAGTTAAGAGTAGTATTGATGATCACTAAGTATCTGGGTAAAACATACGAGCACCAACATATTATTGGACTCGCTCAGGACTAACCAAAATATTTTTAAAATTTAGTTAAAACATTTTTAAAAGTGACTAAATCTTTTTTTTTTTTTTTTCTTGTTTTCTGTGTGTAGAACGTAACAGTTATACTTTCAATGCCGGCTAGTTTATTAGGATATAGTCTTAGTTTACTCCACAGCTCACTACCAAACATAATGGCATTCTTGGATGAAATAATTAGACGAAAACGTAAAATGAATGTAACCTGTCCTGTCATTTATGAAACAGTCTCATTCCGTTCGCATGTAGATAACAAGCTTCATCTTCTACAGTTGAATTTACAGACTTTTTAATTTTAATCTGTCCTTTTATTTCACTTTTTCTTCGATGTTGTGACGGACTATACAGAATAATTATAAATTCCGAATCCATTGTTCAGAACAAATACGAACACGTGTGCGCAGTAAAGTGGAATCTTTTCAAAATTTGCCGTTCTCAGACGCTGAAGCGTTTGACTAGGCAGATTTTCTTTRATACCTTGAATGTGATGTTCGATCTCAGAATTCTAACGGATAATGTCTTGCATGAGTTTTGGCTAATGCTTTCATAATGATTTTGAAATTTTGTTGGGTGGTTTAATATTCTCATTACTACACCTTTTGCTGTTCATTAACAGAAAATGTACATTCATTTGTGCCAATAGTTGTATCAATAACGTGTAATGTACTTTCATCAACACCACAAGTAACATCATTAGCGCGGATCAACTTTCAATAACGACAATTGAATATGCGTGTACATTCGTAGGCATCAATGGACAATCAATAGCGCGTTTGTACATTCATATGCGCGGAATGTATTTT